TCCTATGTTCAGCTTCTGTTTCACATACAGAGATGAATAGGATACAATTTCAATCTAAGTTTTATTTTTTAAACTTTTTTTTGTCCTTTGAGAAAAGTGTCAAATTCGTTTTCCATCCAACAATTTATACGTATTTTGTTTCATGATCTTGATTGCAATCCCCACAATGTATCCGCACTCTTTCAGCTTATTCTCTGTGTTCCCCATTTCCATTCATCCTTTTTACTGTTTCTTCCTGTGCTTTCTGCCTTCTGAGCTTTTGTTTCTGGGGGAATGCTATCCTTTTTGTCTCCTGTAAATTAACCCTTCTAAGTTGTCAGTTCCTCTTTTATATTATTACTCACTTTTTGGGACTTATTTTAATTCTTCAAGAAAATGGTTTTTAATTAATATCTTAATTTTAAATTCTAGTTGCAGTTGTATCAATTTTTAAAAGTACAGAGATAGTAGGGTCAAAAATTTATGAGGCTGTTTTGTGCAATTATCTGACTCTAGTAGCCAGTGAACACAGAGTTGTGCTGCCAACTCAAAGTCATGCAGTTCAAAACTAGGAGTTAATCTCCTCCCATGCGATCAACAGCCTCTGAAAACCCAATGGAGGGACAGCTATGAGTCACTTCCGACTTGACAGCATTGAGCTATTGGTACAGACCAGAAAAGTGAGACAAAGATTTAGAACCAGTCTAAGGTCACTTAGTCATTGTCAGGTACTGTATCCAGCTAGTCTATCTCGATGAATTTATAACCATGAATTTCCCCTTGATATTATCTTTGTTAAAATGTTTAAATGGGTTTCCAGTCTAGACACTAAGGTGTGCCTGATTCAGCCCCTAGTGTTCACAATTAACTTGCTATGCATCAGAGAACTGGACAATATGAATAAGGATGACAGAAAAAGAATTGATGCCTTTGAGTTGTGGTGCTGGGCTGCCAAGAGAACAAACAAGTCTGGCCTAGAGAGGGTGACATCAAGTTGCTCTCTGGAGTTAAGGATTTTGAAGCTCCATCTCACAGACTTTGGGCTGGAGGGACCAGTCCCTGGAGAAGAACTACATGCTTGGAAGAGTGAAGAGACAACAGGAGAGAAGACCCTGGAGGATAAGACACAGTGAATGGAGTTGGGGGGGGGGCGGGGGCGTCAGAGACTGTGAGACTGGCTCAAGATAGGACTGGGTTCAGAGCTATTGTGCACAAGGTTGCTATAAGTCGCAGGCGATTTGATGGCACATAACAACAGCAACAACAAAAGGCAATTTAACACCAATAAGTCTTTATGCCATTCAATACCATCTAACCCTTACTATCGCGTAGCATGATACTAGGGCTTGTTTCCACTTGTGAAATGTGTCATCTGCTGAGCCCTCTCAAATCCTGTTTTGGCTGACAATCTGTGGTTTTAAGAATCTGAGTTGGGAGTCCCCTTTGCCACCTCCGCTGGGGAACTGCAGCCTCTGGTGTTCTCTAGAGACACAGAGAGGCTCCAGGAATGTGGGCGTTTTCTTCCCACGCTCAAGACTGCCTCAGCGGAATGCAAACGGCTGTCACAACCTCCACACACCTCTCACTCTCGGGAACCCACTTTCAGAACTGGCTGCTGATTGGCTCGATCTAATAAGGATGGGCGGGATGCGGCCCAAGCCTGTCGCGTAGCCCATTCTTCTGGTCCTCGAGCTGCTCCGCGTCCCTCCTCCAGCGCTGGAAGGGAGAAGCCGCGGACCCCGCTCCGGCTGGCGGTCAAGGCGGGTGGAGCCCCGCCGACCAGAAAGCGCCAGCGCCGCGGAGCGCCCCAGCCGCAGGGGCGGGGCGTGCCCAGCATTCTGCACTGGCGCGTCGGGAGCCGTCTCCCGTCGTGCCCCGGGGCACCCGCGACTCACCCGGAAGGAGAAGCCCGGACGAGGGCAGCGTGCTGGGGGCTGGCGGTGTCGCCGTGGGGAGTGGGCACCGCTCTCAGGTGAGGGGGTTTGCACATCACAGGTGGCGCTTGGAGTGAGGGCCTCGCCTGACATTGCGGACAACGGGTTGTCTCGTTTCCGAAAGTGAAGGCCAGAGTTTACTCGGAATCCAAGGAGGGGAAACTCGGGCTTTCAGTTTATTTTTAAAAATGTAAGGTTTCTTTCCTTCCCTTTCTCCCAGCTTAGTAGGAAAAAGAGGAGGCGGGATGTGTGGCCCTTTTGTACTTTGTTCGTTAAAAATGGAGAGGAAATGGTAGGAGTAAAAAGGTTTGGGAACTTTGCGCCAAACCAGTAGGTCTAGGGGATGATGGCAAATATTTACGGGACACACAAAACTTCAGTGCTGGACGGTGGGCAGCCTTTCTGACTTACCTGTGAAGTGCAAAGGGGAGCAGGTGTCAGTTCCATTCCAGTTTACTGATGGACGAAGGAAGCTGCTCGGTGGGGTTCACAGAGACTAGTCAGACGAGGGCGCGTCCTTTATCCTGTGGATGTTTAGGAAAAGAGCCGACTTGAATTACCATTTCCTATCTGCCACTAATGGCTCAAAAGTGAGTAAATAAGAGTTGAGAGTCTTAAGGGCTTAATCTGTTTTTTACTACTTGATTTGCCTTTAGCTAGTATCCTGAAGTAATTTATATGGGAGCAAAAATTAGGAGGTTTTGCTGGGACATTGGAAGGCTTTATAACTAATGTGCTTTGTAAACAGCAAACAGCTGGGGTCTCAGTTGGTAATGTTGGCGCTGTTACTTAAGGTGTGAAGAAAGCCTAGTACTAGCACCGGTGAATGAAATGGCAAATAGCAGAAGCTGTTGACCCTGGCCTTATTTGGACAACACATAGATCCAGCTTCCAAATCTTAGAACTAAAATGGAAAACTTCCTGGTTCCCTTCTAGGGGCAGAAGTGAACTTCATTTTCTCCTGAAAAGTGTCGTCCATGAAAAGGAAGCTGATGGAGAAGAGTAGTTGCCAGAAATTATTAGACTAGGTTTTTGTTTTATTCCAGTGCATTTAAGGAAAGTTAACATTGGCATTTTCTTACTGTCCTCTGAACACAATTTTAAATATGTAACATCTTAGGGACCCTATGGTTTTAATAAGCCAATTTATAGCTTTGTATTTCTAAGCAGTGAAACAGCCCCAAGGAAAGGAACTTCAGCATGGATGTGTCTGGGTTCAGGGTCCTGGGCAAATTCTCTTTGAGCCCAGAAGAATAAGGTGATGATGAACATTTAGTTACTAAATTACAGTTCTGAATTTGGTAGCCATTTCATTGCATGGGTTATGTACAGCTCCCCCTGAATGTGTGTGGGCCAATGACTTGCTTGGCATCATCTTTTTAAATGGTTACTTTTGAGAAAAAAACAGTTTACAATATTTAACTCTCTAGTCCTGAGCTAGTAATTTACCAAGTGCCTGAAAAGAGAAATGGAAAGAGAGGAAGAAACCCCAAACTAAAATCAAAGAAGTTAATTGTTTACCAGAAGTCAGCCTCCTCTTTTTTTTTTTTAAATTTTTGTCACAGCATTTGACTGCCTTCTTTTGGGATGTTACATATCAGTTGTTAATGGAATTAGAATTTCCTACCTTTTAGTCAGAGAGGTCTTTGAGATGGTGGTTTTACTAGGTATAAGTTAGATTGTCAACAAAAATGCTGTTTGAGATGGACTGAAATCTCCAAACCTTGGGTTTTCATGAGAGTGTAGTCCAGTTTAGTCATATATCATGCAGCTGTGTCTCTGTGCTGTGACTTGTCTGTGGAGACACCTTCTGGTATATTGGAGAGAAATGGAGAAGCTGTTTGCTCTGCTAATTTTGTGGTGTAAATGAGTTCCCCCTTCCACTGAAACGTTAGCCTCGTGCTAGCAAAACATACAATAGAGGGAACCTCATTACACACTCTTCTAATGGTAAGGCAGAACTAATAAGCGAATGTGTTTAAAATTAATTGTGGGGCTGTAAAAATGAGTGGGTGTGCGGATGGGGGTTGAGGAGGAGGGGGAGAGCTTAGAGATAGTCTTGTTTTCCCAGGAGCCAGCCTGGATCATTTGTTGGCAGTACATATTGGCTGAAGTCAGTTTTCATTTCAAGGTAAATTGGAAAGGGAAATTAAACCTTATTGTTCCGCTCTTAAGAGAGGAGAAGGGGGTGGAGGCAACAGCGTGGGTAACTGCTGCTAGAGTGGTTCTAGGAGTAACAAGATTAGTGCTGTATTTTAACAGAAGGTGACATCATGGGCCCCCTTGGACTTCAGTAACCCTGTGCTGAAGCCTTCATGATCCCCTTGCTGGAGTGGGCGATGTCACTGCACATGTAAACTGCTACACTGGGAGAAATCAGGGACTTAGACTTTAATGAATCTTTACAAAGGAGCAGAAAGCATCCTGAGTCAACCTGTGCAGCTGTGGGGCACTTGAACAGAGGTACAAACTGGATGGCATGTTGAGAGAAGAAATAATTAGAACTACTGGCTCAGGTTCCAAAGAGTGGATTAGATAAGGGAAGGCTGAAACTGGGCAACCCTCTCAGGTACTCTCTGGACTACAATTCACTTGTGGAAAAGTGACTGTGGTTAGTAAGACAGACTCAGGCACAGTGGTGTTTGTGGGGCTTGCCTGTTTCTAAACAGCCGGGAGGGGGCGATGTTAGGCTCAATTTCAGAGCTGTGCTTTTAGCACCAGCTAGACACTGCTGTGCGGGAAGCCCGTAAGGCAGAAAGCTTTTACAAATGAACCTGCCTGCTCTGTTGCCTAGGACAAGTACTTGTGCAGACCCCAGTATGCCCTGGGTGGAGGTGGCCTAGATGAGAATCTTGGATCTGAAAAAGAAGGCAAATCCCCTAGAGCTTTTAGCTTAACACTTAGCTGATGTGGGGATATTTTTAACTTCCTCTTAATTTTTATACAGGACCTAAAAAGTAGCCTGGGTTTCCCCAGGGAACCTATTAAAATGTTCAGGTTTTGCTCTGATAAAGAGTGAACAGAATAGAGGCATACTAACTGTACTCTTCTGTGTGATTTTTGTCCCTCATCAGATGCTTTCTTCCAATGGGCTTTTGGTATAGGATGTTGGAGACTCAAGAGCAGGAGGTAAGGGTGTGGTCTCCAGGGAAAAGGGGGCCATAGAAATGTTAAAGTCATTGTTCAGTAGTACTAATCCCATACAAGTACTTTGATGGCTTTAATGAGTTCAGACAGTGGTAAAAGGTAGCAGAGACATTGCTGGAAAATGAAGTTCCAATTTTACTAACTTTTCCATTGGGTAGAATGTTCTAAACTATAGACTTCAAGAGGGGAGAGATATTTGCCTCTTATTCATACTCTATACCCAGTGTTTGACACATACTGAATGCCTAAAAAAATATTTACTGAGTTGAATAAAATCAAAGTATATAATCTGGTACTCTGTGTTGTCAAAGTTACCTTACTATGTGAATGAGCTGAAGTTGAGGTAACATTTCTTAACTACAGGAGGTGATCACTGTGCGTGTTCAGGACCCCCGTGTACAGAATGAAGGTTCTTGGAATTCTTATGTGGATTATAAAATATTCCTCCATGTAAGTGCATCAAGCTTCTTCTATATTGGGGTCAGCACTTTCTAGGGCTGAGGGCTCATGCTAAGGCAGAATGTATTTGTGGGTGTGTCTGGGCTGGAGATAAAAGAAAAGAAGGGGAAAGAGGAAAGAGACCTTGGGATCTTCCTGAGAGTTGCTTTTGGCTCTACCTTGTTCTGTGAGTTCTAGTTTGAACTTCTCTGATCAGGGATGTACAAGACTCTGGCTTGGTGGCATGGATCCTCAGTAAGATCCATAATGAAATATATAAAGTTGGTCCTTTCCACTAAAACATTTTCCTGTACTTCCTCCTCAAGACAAACAGCAAGGCCTTTACTGCTAAGACGTCCTGTGTGCGGCGCCGCTACCGGGAGTTTGTGTGGTTGAGAAAGCAGCTACAGAGAAATGCTGGTTTAGTGTGAGTTTACCTCATTGCTTCCTTCTTAGATCTGAGACTAGCTTTTATGTGCTTTACAGGAGGATTGTGCAATAAAGAAAATTTGGAATATATAAGGAAGCTAGGAAATGTGTTCTTAAGTTACATTTTCAGTCAATGGAAGAACTAGACAGAGTTCTCAATTTCTTCTATTTTGACCTGGCAAAGCCATGTTGTTACTGTTATGTGCATCAAATTGACTACAACTTATAGTGACCCTATAAACAATAGCTCTGAACCTTTCCCTGTCCTGAGCCAACCTCACTGTTTCTGACACACTTGACCTCATTGCCACAGTCACTATGTTGGTCCATCTCATCAAAGGTTGTCATCTTCTGTGCTGACACCTCTACCCTTCCAAGGGTGATGTCCTCCAACAAAGACTGGCCCCTTCTGACAACATACCCATATATGTGAGATGGAATTTCAAAATCCTTGAAGCATCGTTAAAACTTTTTTCTGAGAATTGTAAATTTTCACTCAAATAAAATAGATTTAAAAAGAAAGAAAAGTACTCAAGGAAAAATATTTTTCCTCTTGTCTATGCATGTTAGTCTAGGGCTAAACAAGTATGCTACCAGCATATCAAATGTACATAGGACTGGTTATTGGTAATGTTTAAGCACCTGGACCTAATTTGATAGGTGGTGTTCCAATCCATCTGAGATAATAAAAATTCTGATTTCTCCCCCACCTTTTCATTTTTGTTTTGTCTAGAGCGGTTTCTTCTCGAGTTACATACCAGATTGAGAATGTTAAGAAAGACATTTTATTTTTTATTCGTCATTCATATTTTCTAAACAAGTCCTAAAAGTGAAGAGACCGGAGCAATGATTCCAGCATGGTGGTCACTGAATGCTGGGTAGTGATGGATGGTGTGCTGAGTGACCTAGTTAATGTTTAGAACTGATGAGGTCATTGTCATGGGTCAGACCCCCCCCATGCCAGTTGGAAGTCCCTCATTTCCTCTGGTAGATCCTGATCCCCCAACCTTTCATGTAGTCTTGTGTGAACAGGTGCTGCTCTTCATAAGAGAGAATGTTAGAGGTTATGGATGATTTGCTGCAACTCAACTATTTTTAGAAAATCACAAACATGTGGCCTTCTGGGATTAGGGTAGGTAGCATTTATTTACACAGAAGGACCTAGTTCTCCATGGACATGTTTCTTTTTCAAATAATAGTTGATGATGAGAGTGGGTTTTGTAAACAATGTAGTGTAGCATTATGGGCTTTAGAATCACAGACTTCGTTCAAATATTAGTGACACTGGGAAACTTCCTTAACTTCTCTGATTATTTTGTTACTTGTAATGCCTTTTAGGATTATTTGATGCATTAAATGAAATAATGTTTATAAACCATTAAGCATCCTGCCTGACAACTTGGCAGGCAGTTGATAAATTTTACCATCTTATTAAAAACCAGTTGAATTGGTTTGGGCCACTTTCAGGGATTTCCTTGAAGAGGGGCTGGAATCAATATTTGGATATTAGCTTGATGTTTCTTATCTTGGTGTTTCTTCACGTGACCCCAACAGGCCTGTACCTGAACTTCCTGGGAAGTCAGCTTTCTTTGGCAGCTCAGATGAATTCATTGAGAAGCGGCGACAAGGTCTGCAGCACTTCCTTGAGAAGTGAGTGGGCCGTCACTGGGCACCTGGATGGGAGTGTGGGAGGGCACCATATACCAGCACGGGTGACCCAGGCAGGGGTGGGGAAGGGTGCCAGGCAGGATGGGCCCCCTCACACTTGTAGGTGTTTGTGGTAGAAACTTTCTTGTACCTTTCACACTTTCAGTGCCTACTCAGACTGGAAGCCCACACCAGAGGATGTTAGTCTAAACAAGTGTGCTACTAGCATATGTGGCATATCCCCTCATTGTGATTCTCTGTGTTTGCCCCAGGGTGCTGCAGAGTGTGGTCCTTCTGTCAGACAGCCAGTTGCACCTCTTCCTGCAAAGCCAGCTCTCTGTGCCTGAGATAGAAGCCTGTGTGCAGGGCCGAAGCCCCATGACTGTTTCCGATGCCATTCTTCACTATGCTATGTCAAACTGTGGCTGGGTCCAGGAAGAGAGACAAGGTTCTTCTCACCTGGCTAAGGGAGACCAGCCCAACAGGTAACTGAAGCTGTCTTTTTGAGACACATGGGGTTACGGTTACTGTAACCTGAGCCACTGGGTTTGACAGAGAAAGCAATGTCCCAGAGTTGGTGGCTTTCAAGAAGAGGTTTTATTCTCTTGTGCATGGTTCTCTCATCCCAGGCAGGTCTGAAGCACCCACCACTATAGCAGAAGTTCCTGTTGAAACCTGAGAGGAGAAATGAGGAGGCTTTCTTTATACCCATTTCCTCCTTAGGAGCCTTCCATATTGTAACATGTGTATACACATCATTCCTTTTTACAACCAAATAGAACTCCATTATATTATCACTTTTTGTTTATCCACTCATTTTTGCTTATCCATTCATGTATTCCTCCTCTCCTATCTTTTCCAGTTGCTGCTTTCTTCCGAGATCTGGTAGGAAGGACTCTCCCTCACCACCTCTCAGTGAAGAAAAGGACCATCTAGAAGTGTGGGCTCCTGTTGTTGACTCTGAGGCACCTTCCTTGGAGAGTCTAACTCTCCCAGCCCTCTCTTCACCATCACGCTGTGATTTTGCAAGACCCAATGAGGAAACTTCTGCTACTCAGGCTTCGAGGAGGGCCATGGGCGGGGACCAGTCAGACCCCTTATCTTACCCTGTGCCTTTGGACCCTAGTCAGTTAGAAACAGTCTTAGAAAAGTGAGTTCTGGTCTGAGCTCTGAGTTCTGTTCCAAGGAAGATGGAAAATGTGCAGGCAAGGAGACTTGGCACGAGTGGAACTAGGCAAAAGCTTATCTGGGTAAGGTGGCAGCTCAGTCCCTGACAGGAGCCTGTGCTCGGGTTTGTTGCACAGAAGTCTGTCCTGTCAACTTGTGATTCCTTCAGAGGAATAAACACTGTGCAGTGTGTGTGAGTTCAGCATAAGGCCCAGGGCTATGATCTTAAACAGAACCCCTATTTACTCTCCTGGGAACTGAGTTTCTTCAGGTGTGTTTTTGTTTTTCAGAAGTACTGCCTAAGGTGACTGGTTTGGGGTACCTGTAAATGGCAGGCACTAAGCCGCCACATCAGTTATTGTTCCAAAGGGAATTTGTAGCTGCATTCTCATCTTAACTGGGTTCTACTCTGGCTGCAGTCCCCAGCACACTCTGCTGCTGCTGGCTAACCAACCTCTCTACCTCCTTGCATGGACAGGGTGGTGACTAGTTACCCTTCCCACCTCCTTGCTTTGCCCCACTGATACCACTGCATGGCTCTGGTGCTGATTCCAGGAGCTGGTGTTTCTCTTGTCCCAGGGCCTCAGGCTCACTTGGGCATGGGACCCTACTTAAAACCTCTTGACCATCTGTGAAAGACAAGTGGTTGGACGTAGCCAGAGGGGAAAGGTGACTGCTTAGCTGTGTTCAGGCAGCTTTGTTTTTGGAAAAGCCATCCTGGGCCGTCACTGTGGCTTCTGATGATAAAGCAGAGAGATGATCGTCTTTTCTGTAGAGTTAACATGGGTTCTTTCCTTTTTGGAATCCTGTCTTCTTCCTTAGTAACAGTCCCTGCCCTCAGGGTTTCAGCTGCCATAGTGTCCCCGGCTGTGTTGCAGAGAGACCGTCTGCTCAGTCCTGTGGGGTGCAGGAGCTTTGTTTCTGCCTATACGCCTGGACTCTGGGGATAGAGATGAGGAACAACATGCTTTCCTCAGACAATGAGGCGTTCTGCCCTCCTGCTGCCGTAATTCCTCTCTGCTGAGAGCCAAAGCCGGCAGGAGAGCTGTGCCATTGGCACTTGGTGATGCTCCGCACTGAAGTTTCTTGTGTGTTCTCCCTCCTGTCGTCCCATCCTTTCCATGGGCCTCTACTACCAGCCTGTGCTGTGGGACTGTCGGGGCATTTACTTCAGAGTTGAGGGGCTTTGGCCTGAAATAAAATTCAAGTGTTTAAGACGGTTGTTGCAATTTGTGTCTAACAAGCTGTAGCAGAGGAGGAGGGAGTGAGGGCTGGCAGTTCTTACTTTCATAAATCATGAATTTATCAGCCTGGAAATAATGGTTCAGAGCTGCGTACTGCAGCTTTCCAGCACTGTCTGCAGCTCAGGTTCACCACCAGGAAGAATCATCTTCCACGGAGCCGGGATCCAGCGCTTCTCACAGTTTGAGGTGTGAACCTTGTTAGGTATAATTTACCTGATGCAGCTTCCATCCTCACAGCCTGTCTGAAGTGCCAGGTGCTGAATGAGAAAATAAAGTTCGTCAACAGGCAGATGCAGAGCCCTGGCTATTGCTATCCCTCTTCCCTGTCTGCCTCCCCTGCGCGTCTCCTTTATATGATGCAGCAGAGCAAGGCGACCATTGAAAACCTACGGAGGCAAATCTAGAATGTCAAAAGAAGTTCATTTAAAAGAGGGAAAAAAACTCCATACACAACCCTCACAAAAACCCGACAGATGCTAAGCTAATGGCATCCGCTCTGCCGATTGGTGGGGATGGTTCATGAATATTAATGAGTCCAATGCTCCAAATGGTGCAGCTGTGAACCCAGCTGTGCCTGAAGCTCTCTGATCTCGAAACTTCCAGACAGGAGCCGGAGGTGGTCTGTGTCAATTCCCTACTCAGCCAAAAAAACAGCAAGCTGGGTCGGCCTTCTTCTGTTCTCTTGTTCCTTCCTGGAGTCGGTGCTCAGCAGCTCGTCCTGCCAGCAGGGTGGGCTGCTGGGACAGCAGGAGCCATTCGAAGACATGGACGCGATTTTTCTACACTCGGCTTTTTTAATGATCCATTAGCAGCAATGCATACAGCAGCGCTTTAGTTAATCTAAGGCCAGGCACCATCCCTTTGCGGTCTGGCACTGAGCTGCGTGTAGGCGCTGAAAGGGAAGGTTCTGAGAAGGGGAAAGAGTTTTTGTAATACAGTCTTGGGGTCACCAGAAAAACAGCAAAGATGTGCTTCCCCACACAGATTGTCTTTTCATGGGCTGCTTTATCCTTGTGCTGGGGTCAGCCACCACAGCTGGTGACCCACGTGCGGAGGATGAGGCTGTAAAGACCCACAGAGTCATTAAAGTGTTTTGAATTTTGTTTTCAGATAGGTTCTGTGTCTGATTTAGTCACCTTTCTTCTGATGGCCACTCCCATGACCCAAGTTCTGTTACCTAGGACATGTGGTGTCAGGCGGGAGGAGGTAAGTAGGGAGAAAGTGCAAGGGCTTGAGTTTTCTAGTAAAGTAAGGAAGGCAGGGCTGAAGTGTGCTCATTTTCTAACCTAGGAAACGGAGTTTGGCTTCTTAAAAGCATATTTTCAGATGCCATGTAATCATGTGAGACATTTTCTAAAATCTGTAAAGCTTTTTTATATTAAAGAACAAACATGAAGCTCACTACTATTTAAGGAGGTGAAATCCCCCTTGCAGAGCTTTCCCAGGTTCTAACTCTTGAGGACTTTGAGCTGCAAAGCCCAGATACCCACTGTGTTCTCTTGTAGGTTTGCTTGAGGTGGTCATGACTTTTTGATTGGCTCCCTTATTTGAAAGTAAACTTGTTTATATGCCTCAGCTGTTGTTGAGTGAGGAAAGGACAGTGGGCCCACAAGATGCAAGGTGGTAGTGGAGATGGAAACAGACCAGCACTCGGTCTGCCTCACAGAGACCGCAGCAGCACTAAATCAGGCCCTGGAGTGGTATCTGTGGATTTATGTGTGAGCAGCCAGCTGAGACGCAGCTAAAGCCAAGCAGATAAGCACTGCAGTGTGAGATGGCTACTTCCTCAGTCACATATCAGGCACTGGTTCCAAGCTACCTCCTCACCCAAAGCCCTCTGCCAGCTTGGGACAGCACTGTGCAAGGCACATAAGCTGCTTCCAGGTAAACTTTAGACTAGAGATGAGTGCCTCCTTTTCTACTCTTCCCATCACACCTTTTCTGATGTTTTTCTCAGCCTGTATGCACAACTCCCTACCCAGTTCCTATCTCATTTACTTCTGCCCCATTTCTCTAAACTGTCTTGAGAACAAATATGAAGACAAAGTGTGGCTCTGGCTTTCCAACAGAGCAGTAGGAGCCCGTTTTCTTATAAGGGAAACACTTTCTACTAGAACAGCAATTCTATTTTAGCCATGGCTGGATTTGGAGCTGGAAAACTGGGGATCTCAAATCTCAAGATTATAATAGCACTAGTTGGTGCTTTTTTCCAGAAAGAGAAATTATAATAAAAATGACCAATTAGTGCTCAAAAGGATACTAGAGCCACACTCTAGAAAACAGTGCATCTGACTCCATGAGCAGAGTGATAGTTTCAGATCCTTCTGTCTAGAGAAAAGCTGGTTGATTGTCATAGTGAAGGAGTACTTTGACACAGTGAAGAGGGAGATGATAATGTTAAAGTGAGAGAATTGAGAGACTGCCCCCCACCCATCCCAAGGAGCTCTGCCTAGTGGATAAGGAGTTACTCTTCCAATCCAAAAGCACTCAGTTCAAATCCACCAGCTGTTCCAAGGGAGAAAGATGAACAGTATCCTCTTGTGCAATTTGTTGTTGTTATGTGCCATTGAGTCGCCTGCAACTCATAGCGACCCTATGTACAATAGCCCTAAACCCTGCTCTATCATGTGCCAATATTACTGTCTCTAACATACCTATCTCCATTACCCCAGTCACTGAAGCAGTCCATCTCATCGAAGGTCTTCCTTTGCCGTCCCTCCACTCTCCCAAGCATGACGTCCCTCTCTAAGGACTGGCCTTTAGAGCCACTTAAAACCCACTGGAGGGTCCGCTATGAGTTGGTCAGTGCATAACAGGAGGGGAGAAACTGCTGTAAGCCCCCCCCAACTTTTTATTGTGATTTAAGTGAAAGTTTACAGAGCAAACGGGTTGCTTTTATAACCTCTGGATTATGGGAATCCATCATTCAGAATTTCTTATGCATAGCCATTGGATGCCTTCTTCCCATCCTTTAGCACTTATACATTCCATTGGTTTTGGAGGGATCATCTTGTTCAGATCCTATCATTAGAGTTCTAGCCTGGTGTGTTCCCCTTATTCTGGTGGTCTTGTGGGAAGCCAGGCCTAGAAGCAGCCTGTCCACAATCCCTCAGGAAACGCCCCGGATGGTGGGAGTCTGAGGCAGTTTTTTGGAGGCCATGCAACCTGCCTACTATAAGCTACGAGACTTAGATATATTCTACCAATTAGGGCACATCTGTTCACACTACTGAAAGGCGGGCACTGTCTCTTTAAAAGCCATCCCACTCCTCTCCTTGAGTGATGAGGGCTGGGAGCACAAGGGAGTCAGATGCTGATTAAACAGTCCTACTACCGAGCTCTGTTAGAAAATTACTGTAATTATGATCTAGTCCCAGCAGAGGGATGAGTTCCAATCCTGCTAATAACCCTTCCAGGTGCCTCAGGTTTCGGGCTCACGGGAGGCAGCATCGGCAGGACTCTGGCTGGCACCAGGGCCACAATGGTCCTCCTGTCTGATCCATGCAGGTCAGGACAACAAAGGGACTGGACTCACATCCTCTCTCAGCCTCCTGAGAGGATGGCTGCATTTGTTTGTTTTTTTGTTTTGGTTCTTGACAGAGCTTTTGGGAGTCATTTTGAATGAGAAAACGTCTCCCTCTGCAAACATGAAGGACCAGGAACATCACAGCCGTGAGATGGCAAGTCTGTCCTAAGTCTCCCACTCTTGCCTCGGGATTACTGTCAACACATGGATGTGAGCA